CTGAAGGGGGCGTCCAGCAGCGGCGACTCGGGCGTGCCAGGCCTGTCGTCCGGCCACGCCGCCTCCTGCTCAGCCTCGCCAGAGAGCTGGAAGGTGCTCTGGCTGCGGAGGAGGCGAGTGTCTTGTTTGGGGGGCTCCCTGGTACGGAGTGGGGGGCCATGGCCGGCGTCCACAGCCCTCCTGGGCTGCTGACCGCATGGCTGCCAAGAAATGTCCTCCAGCGGGGGTCCCCCATTGTCGAGGGCTTCGGCGGACTCGGAGAAACGGACACTGGCTTTTGTCTCCTCGAAGTTAGTCCCAGGCGCAGTGGGAGCGGGAGTGGGAGCGGGGCCCGCCCTGCTGGGCCTAAAGTGAGGGCCACACCCGGAGCTGCCCGCACTCGGCGGCCTCTGGCTCCCCTGCTCTCGCTGCTCGATCTTGGAAACCTTCTCCAGCACGGAGCAGTGCGGCCTCCCGTACTGAAAGCCCTGCAGGGCCGAGGCGCTGCCGGAGCTGAGCCTCCTGCGGCCCAGGCAGGGTGCCTGCTGGTGCCCTGCAGGGGGCGGCTCTTCATACCTGGGCTCCGAACTGCGGAGAGAGGCTGCGGCACTGGGGCTGCCCTCCGGCCTTGGGTAGGAAAGCGGCCTGTCCACGTGGCTCCGGTCAGGCGCCGCCTTCCTTCCAAGATCCTCCCGGCTGGAGTTGCCTGCACAGGTGGACCTGCCACCTGGGTGGGCTTCCTGGGCTCGCCCTCCTAGCTCCAGGCTGCTTCGTTTTCCTAGACTCTCTGGAATGTTCTGGAGAGATGAGAAGGCCGCCTTGGTCTTGCTAAAGTCGCTTGACGGGCTATGGCCTAGGCCTTCTCTCTCCAGCCTCCGGCGCACGTTGGCATTGTGGTCTTCCTGGAAATCACCCTCCCAGAGCTCCCAGGGCCTGGAAGATCTCTTGTCTTCAGCCACTGGCCAGGCCTGAGCCTGAGGGGATTTGAGGGGGTGGTGATCAGGACACTGTCTGTTGCTATGGGTGCTCTTTCTCTCATTGGGATGCGAGCCGTTGCCTTGGAGAGGTGTGAGATATTTCCTCAGGGAGGCATCCTCTTGGTTTTCTGGCACTGAAGAAAAATGGACTTTGTAGGGGACACACTTGGCTGTAGTTTCTGATTTCTTCTCCACTGGGGACAGTGGGTCATGTTCTGGAGGCTGGTAGAAGGTAATCCCGGGGCTGCAAGACCCATTTTGGTTCCCGTTCTCATCCAAGGCAGCCGTCTTGTTGCAAGCTCCCTGAGGGGCAGCATATCCACTCTCCTTGGCCAGCGCGGGGTAGAGCATACCGTTACTATTCACCGAAGGCTGGGGCACCTGGGCAAACTGAGGCTCCAGGGGCGGTACAGGGTAGATGCCAGTTGGCAGCAGAGGTTGGCCTGGTTGGGCCTTTTGGGTGTAATTATGCTTGGGTTTCACTGGGGGGCTGTTCTCTGGGCTCTTCTCTGGTACCGTATGCAGCTGTTCCTCTACAAAGGGAGATTTTAGGGAGCCTAAAGAGTTGGCCTGAGGCCGGCAGAACCGTTTCTGATCGAGGCTAGACCAGGAGCTGGGCCGCTCACGGTGCCGAAAGGCTGCATAGCTGTCACTCCGAGCGGGGGGCAGGGGTGCACCCACTTTAGAAGGCAGGTTGTCGGTGGCAGTCTCCAAGGAACTGGGGCACTGCTGGCTCCAGGATAGGGGTGGCACTGCCTTGCCCCGAGGAGCAGTGTACCATTTATTGTAGCACTGACCATCCGCAGGTGCTCGGGCTTCCCTACCTTGAAGCAGGGCTGAAGAGTTCACCTCGTACTCCGCTGAGACTCCCCTCCGGGTATCGTAGACTGTCCTGACGTAGCGAATGTCTGCCTGCCTCATCCCTTCCAGGAGGCCACCTCGAGCAGAAGTAGTGTCCATGGAGCCTGAACGCTCTCGGCCCAGGACGCCAGGGGGCGGATACTCCAGGATGCTAGAACTTGCGGAGAAGGAGCTATAAGCCGAGTCTCTCTTGTTATGGAAGTGGCCGAGTTGGTCAATGCTGCTGGTGGACTTGGCTGGGGAAAGAAGATGGCACGGTGGGTATCCCCCGCTGGGCTCCAGGCTCTCCATGCTCCCCTGCGAGCTGCAGTGGTCAGGGCTCCGCCTCAGATAAGCATGGTCGTAGCTGGAGAGGTCACTAGTGGAGGAGCTGGAAGGAAGGGAGACAGCAGTCAGCGCCCCAGAGCTGTTATCATGTAGGAGACGTCCTGGCACAGGACCCAGCGTATAAATGTGCTCTTGTGCAAGATGTTTGGTTTGGGAAGGATGGGTAAAAAGGGCCATATTTGGGCCTTGCTCAGGCTCCCTGTGTGTCGTCAGTAGGAGAAACTGCCCAACACGGAGACCTGTGTGCTCTAATTAATCGCCCTGACCTGCAAGGAGAGGAGTGGGCAGCACAGAGGAAGCCACGTGTCCCCCGGGCGCAGGCAGCACATCGGGGGGCTTTATCATGTCCTGGAAATGACAGCATCTGCCAATCAGCGAGAGGGCTGGGAGAGGACAGGAGAGGAAGAGGAGGAGAGTGACTGCGACTGAAATCGTGTGTCTGTTAGGTCTGTGTGTGGGAAGGGGAGCACCAGGCATGCGAGTGGGTGCGGGAGGCTGTGTGTGCACGTGTGTGCTTTTAGTTAATATCATTCCTTTTTATGGAATTGAAGGCTACACCCTGGCAATCTTCCTGGAATTGCGACTGCACTAGAGACAATTTGTGGTGTGAAAGCTAAACACAAAGCTGAATGAGGGGAATACAGAGAGAAATTAGTAGAAAAAGCTGATGAGAGAGGGGAAGAGGGAGAGCGGGAAGCTTTATACAAAGTCTTAATCACAGGGAACTCTGAGAGGCCGGGATTCTATCGCTTGTGGATGACTTCCCAAGCCCAAGCAAAACCTCCTTGTACATTTAGGAGGGGAAGACCTCATTTATAAACTTCTCCAGGTGGATTTCAGCCTGAACTGTGGAGGAAAAAGACTCTGAACTGGCTGAAAAGACTCTGAACACACCCCAGGCTGCCTCAAAGCAGAATTCAGTAGTTCCTCTCATTCATGGGAATACATTCCGAAACCTTCAGTGTACACCTGAAACACCCACAGACACTACCGAGCCCTATAAATACTTTGTTTTCTCTTTTTCTTTTGAGAAAGATTTTTTTGCTATAGGGAGCGTGTGCGAGCCAAAGAGACAGGGAGACAGAAAGCAAGAAATCACCCCCCGGGGGGATGGCCACACCGCAATCCCTTCTCCCTCCATTCTACTCTTGGGATTTTGGGCACACATGCACACACGCCAGGAGTGAGTTTTAAGTCATCGGGTCTGGGAAGTGAACCGCAGTCAACTACGTGGGATTCCAGCAACATAACCATTATACCATCTGCTGGTCCCAGTATTTTATTTTTTCCAGCTGATACCCTGGACAGTGATTGACGGGCAGTAGCATATACTGTGTATACACTGGGCAAAGGGATGATTCACAATTGAGTCAGCACAGAGTCAGACAGCATGAGAGTCCATCATGCTACTCAAAATAGCAAACAATTTAAAATTTAAGAATTGCTTATTTCTGAAATTTTCTACTTAATATTTGCAGATTGACTATATATGACTGAAACATCTGGAAAGTGAAATCATGAATAAGAGGGACTATTGTACTTACAATGATCTGTAATTATAAACTCAAACTATACTTCAAAGAAGAACTCTTAAAACTCAACAATAACAGGGACCGGCAGGTGGCATGGTGGTTAAGGGATCTGGATTCCCACATAGCTGACTGCAGTTTGAGTCCTGGACCTGGTGGCTTGCTTTCTCTTCCCCTTTCTCTGTCTGTTTCTGGTCAAATTTTTAAAAATAATAATTACAAATGGAATTAAATAAATAAATAATTCTTTTTTTTTTTTTTTTGAGAGGTTTTTGCTATAGGGCATGTGTGCTCGCCAGACAGAGAGAGACAGAGAGACAGAAAGTGAAAAATCACCCCCCAGGGGGGATGGCCACACCGCAATCCCTTCTCCTTTCTCCTCTTAGGATCTTGGGCATGCACGCACACGTGCTCAGCATGAGTTTTAAGCCACCAGGTCCAGGATGCAAACCGCAGTCGACTACGTGGGAGTCCAGCGACATAGCCATTACGCTAACTGCTGATCCCATAAATAAATAATTCTTTAAAACTCACAAATTGAAATAATAATGAGATACTACTACATACCTATTAGAATGGTCAGAACACTGGACACTGACAATACCAAATGCCACAAGAACGTGGAGAAAGAGAACTTTCATTAATGCTAGTGGGAATGCAAACTGGTAGGCTACTTTGGAAGACAACTTGGTGGTTACATCCAAAACTAAACATACTCTTACCATACGATCCAGAGATGATGATCTTTGCTATTTACCCACAGGAGCTAAAAAGTTATGTCCAAACAAAAACCTGCACATGGATGTTTATAGCCACTTTATTCTAGTTGCCAAAACTTGGCAGCAACCAAGATGTCCTGTTTTAGGTGAAGAAACTATGGTATAGCAAGAGAATGGAATATTATTCCATGCTAAAAGAAAATATCAAGTCATGAAAACACAGGAAGCCAACCAGAAAAGGCTACATATTGTATGATTCTAACTGTACCACATTCTCGAAAAGGCAACACTGTAAGACAGCAAAAAGATCAGTGGGTGCCAAGGCTCAGAGGACAGAGGAGGGATGAATATAGGTGGGCACAGAGGATGTTCAGGGCAGTGAAACTACTCTGTATGATGCTATCGCGATGGATACATGTCATAATACATTTGTCCAAACCATATCATGTACAACGCCAACAACAAACCCTAACGTAAGCCGTGGCCTTGGGGGGATAATGATGTGTCAGCCCAGGTGCATCAATTAGGATGGGTGTGCCACTGTTGGGGATGTTGAATGGGGAGGCTGTGCATGTGTGATAGACAGGGAGAATGTGGAAAATATCTGTGCCTTCCATTCGCTTTTGCCGTGAACCTAAAACTGCTCTAAAAAAAAGTCTATTAAGAAATATATATATATATATGTGTGTGTGTGTGTGTGTACATATATATATATATATGAGATTATATGTATGTATATATATAGGGAGGTTGTGTTGGAAAGAATAAGTCATTCAAAAATCAAACAAGTCTCCATATTTCAAACATTTGTGACTCAGTTTTCTAAAGAAGGATTAAATCACTAAATGTTCTTGCCTAAGATTTTCCATTTTAAAATGAATAAGCATTTAAGCACTATTAAAACTCATTAAGTTATTACTATATTTCTAGAACTTATGTATGTAGAGGTGGTACCTTCTGGACCAAGCATGTAATCATGCTTTCTGGTTGGAATATCTCCAGAGAACATGTCAAGAGATGAGAAGGGTCATAGTCTGGGTCAAAACTAGTGCTAGAATCCGTGGACGAGAAGACTGCATTTTCAGCAACTCACCTCAAGAATGTAATTTTTTTCTCTCAGAGAAAGTCAGCTAATTGAATGGAGCATTCTGCTTTGGAAGGACAAGTATAAATTCAAGATAGACAGATCAGGGAAAACAGACCTGGCATTCAACAACATGAGGTATGTCAACAGCCAGATTTTATCCACCCCAACTTTCCAATATTCTAGTTGCCTAAATGAAGAGGTTGTATTTAAAAAGCATGAGATAGCCCAGTTGAGAATAATCCCATCATGACCCTTCTGCTGCTTCTTACTCTTCTAAGGAAAGGTTCAGAGATCATATTTCCAGGGTAAGGAGAAGCGGTAGGTCCCAAAGGCTGTTTCACTCATCAGTTGTACGTGAGTAATAGACACCAGTGGGTGTCAGAAAAGTCGTGGCACAGTTTTCTGTGCAAAAGTGCATCATGACTTTTCTGAAAACCCAATACTTAACCCCCTGCCCACTGCTGAGAATTTTGTCTTTCACTGAAAGGATAAGTCAAATCTAATTTGTAAGCACAAACTGAAGTATAAAACCGAAGTATAATTGATGGCTAACTGAAACCCCACTGAGTGGGAAAGATGCCATCATTGGCATATCAAAACCACAGATATGGTGCCTAGAAATACGAAGGCTTCGTTACATCACCAGCCAGACTCAAGGAAGGGCATAATCAATCCTTCGGTCACAAACGTCAGGTGGGAGACAGGAGAGGCCTTTGTGAGGTGCTCTCCTTCCTACCTGGAGAGGGCTCAGTCCCTTTGGGATTCCCCATTCCCAAACTGCCTAGGAAATACAGGCCCTGATTATCGCTCTCTCGGACAGGTTCTTCCACCATCTGCAAATACTTTCCCAGTCTTCCTTCCATGATGGCACTCCTCCTCCTTTTGTTAAAAATTTGTCAGAGGTGGGACCAGCAGTTAGCATAATGGCTATGTCACTGGACTCCCATGTAGTTGACTGAGGTTTGAGTCCTGGACCCAGCGGCTTAAACTCATGCTGGGCATGTGTGCGTGCGTGCCCAAGATCCCGAGAGGAGAATGGAGGAGAAGGGATTGCGGCGTGGCTGTCCCCCCTGGGGGGTGATTTCTCGCTTTCTGTCTCTCTGTCTTTCTGGTGAGTGCATGCGCCCTGTAACAAAAACCTCTCTAAAAAAAAAATGTGTCAGAGGGTATGTGCACTGATCAGAGACAGAGAGAAGAAGGGGGAGAGAGCACCTTTCAATGAGGCGTGGTCACCCCGCCATCCTGTCTTCTCCACCTCTCCATTCTGTTGAGGTTGTGGGCACGCATGCATGCTCGTCCGACATGTTTTAAAGTTGCCAGGGCTAGGGTGCTGACCGCACAGTTGGCCATGTGGGATCCAGGTCCCTTAACCACCAGGCCATAGAGATGGCACTTTAAATGGAGGATCAGAACAACTTGGAATGAAGGGCTCCCATCCTGCATAACAGCCACCACTGTACTCTGATACCTAGAAATCACCACAGATAGGGGGTCTGCATACGTATTTGCTGAGTACTGGTATTTCAGTATTTCAGCCTCTTGTCAGGGGGACTGGGCTACAGGCTGTTCAGGGGTCTCTCCTAAAGTACTTCAATGCTTTAGAACCATTGTGTAAGATTTCTGTAGGATGACAAGAAACAAGTGACAAGAATCTGACAGAAAGCAGCCGGAATAAAATTTCAGTGCAATTCCACAACCAACCCAGCTCTCAGGTAAAATTATAGATCTTCAGTCTCTTTGTACTTCTCTCTCCACTCTGTCCCTCCCCTCTCTTTTCACTGCCTCATACTTCTGCTTCTTCAGAAGAAATAAATCTATAAATTGAGGCCTGAGATTGAGCTTCTGGAACTAAACTAGGGCTGTCAGAGGGATTCGACGGTTGATTTGGGACACGAGACCACTAGATGCCACTGTTTTCCTCAGGAACGTACCTGGAGAATTCTCAGTCCCAACTGCACTCGCTGGAGAGAGACAAAGTCCAGGAACGGGACTTGGAGTTGGGATAAAGGCCTGTGTAGGAGCTGCAAGCCTGAGGCATGGAAGGAGACATGGAAGCCTGAGGCATGGAAGCCCCAAGGCATGGAAGGAGACATGGAAGGAGACATGGAAGCCTGAGGCATGGAAGGAGACATGGAAGCCTGAGGCATGGAAGCCCCAAGGCATGGAAAGAGACATGGAATCATCAGGTGATTTGTGCTGGGGCCGAAAGCGCACCCGCCTGTAGCATTTTGTGTAGTCTGAGCCTTCCTTTTTCCTTTTATCCTCCCACGGTGCTTTTGTGCTGACAGCCGTGTGTCAGGAGGACTTGAGTCAGAGGGGTAGAGTACAAGGTACACGATACAGGCCAGAGCTACCTGCTTAACCCACTGGAGGCCGGGATGGGGAAGGGAAATGGGAGGTGGAGAAACGTGTCACTATATTGGACCTTGGATGCCATTACCACCACTGACTCGCCCGAGACCTGCTGGAGCGCACCATGTGGAGTCACTGTGTGCAGTTATTCTAAGCACTGACTACAAAGGTCTTCGCTGCCATAAGGCTAGCAGAGGTCAGGGGTAGGTAGGATACACCTATTGACTCCAGTTCTGGGGCACTCTGTTAATACATACCTGCATTTATGATGGCATAAGGTTTATGCCATTAACCTTCAAGTTCCTGACCAGGTCTCACCATACCTCTGTCTTCAGTTTGATTATACTTAGTTGTCATTTAGTAAGTGCTCACTACATACCAGAAACTGCATTTATGCTGTTTTACGTAATTCTCACAACGAACCAATGACACAGATACTATTCATTGTTTGGGAGAAAAGGAAGCCAAGATCAAAGAGGTTAAATGATTTTTGCCCAAGCTCACGCAGTAGGTGGTGAAGCTGAGATTTCAATTTAGGACTGACTTCAAAGCCCAAGTACCTTACAACACGCTGCTCTTTCTTCCAGTTGTTAGGCTGCATGCAACTCACCTTCTAAAGGCCCTCAACACCTCCGTGCCTATAAAGCAAAAGCAGTGTGCCTTCTTGGGAGGGTGGGCGTGCAGCACTGTGAGGGGACCTGCCCTCTGAGAACGGTTGTCTCAGATGATGAGAATAAATTCTGGGGTGATGGGAGGGGCATGGGCAAGGGAGAGGAGTATCTGTGGGGGAGGGGCATGAAATGATCTCTTCCTGTGGCCTGAAGCCTACCTTAATACACTGGGAGAAGCTTTGTCCTGTTCGATTCCATGAGCCATGGTCCACCAGGGACACATCTAGGATATGGCCCTTGGCCTGACCAGACATGAGCATTAAGGGCTTAGGCTGAGTCCTGGTCTTGCCAAATGCATAGTTACCCCCCTTTGCTTAAGTAATCCTTCCAGAGACTGCTCACCCGCCCACCCTTAACACACACACTCCCAGCCCTTGCACAAATGCATGTATGTGAGAGCTGTTGCATGCATGTATACAAATGTATGCAAGCGCTCGAAGCGCCTCACTCTCCTGACTTTCCTAATTACTCTTAACCAGATAGTACCCCAAAGTGATGAAGCTATGGGGTCTGACTCTCTGAGGTCAGGACAATCCAGTTCACACAGGTTCCAGTCTGAGGTGGGTACAGGGGAGTCCTGTCTTCATTCTCTCTTTACTACGTCTAGATGGTTAGGCCTGACTGCCCTTTCTCCAGGTCTCCCTGTTGAGTAAGGTCTGATGGCTATAATCAATCCCTCCTCCTATAATACGCATGGTTCTACCTTTTCCTAACCAAACCTCAACTGATATAACCGTGACTAGAAAAGCAGAGAAGTTATACTTCCGGTTATTGCTTCTGTGTACTGGCTCTGAAACCTGAGTTAGATTTGTATGGGCTCACAAACTCGCAGTTGTTTGACACTGGACAGTTAATCTATTCAAGTCTCAATTTCTTGTTATGTAACAATGTGGTTAGTAACACTGTGCTTTTTTTTAAGAATTATTTTTTAATTTAACTTTATTTATTTTTAAATTTTATTTTGACCACAGAGGGACGGAGGATGGGTGGGGTGGGCAGGGGAGTGAGAAAGCAAGCCGCCAGGTCTGGAACTTGAACCACAGTCAGCCATGTGTGAGTCCAATGCCCTTAATCACCACACCACCTGCCAGCCCCACATTGTGCCTGTCTTAAAGAAGTATATGAACGATTCTAGGAGATAATGTATGTGAAACCCTCAATATGTCAGTTGTGCTGTTGGAGCTAAGTTGGATAAACCATCTTAACAGAGGGGGAGAAATCAAGTGGGAAGTTCAGATACATGAATAAAATCATTTGGGTAAAAAGGATATAATTTTGACCAAAGCAGAAAGGACATTTAAGCACGGGGGGCAGAAAGTTGTCCATTTTTCTAATATGACGTTACAACATGTAACTGAAAAGTATCTGACTGAGAACTACTGGACCCCGGGAATATCTCAAACAACCAGCCAGGACTCGAAATTATTCTGGCGTCATTTCAAGCTCTTCTAGCCCAGGATATGAAGAGGAGTGTACACACATCAGGCATTTAACAATGGACGTTTAACATTCAGGGTGAGTGTGAGAAAACATTCTCAGACAAGAAAATGTTCCTGTCTGGGAAGATGACATTTGAAAGAAAGCAACCCGCTGGTCTCAGCTGCAGCCACTCACCTAGAATGGTAGCTCTGGTGCCAAGGAGGGCCCACTGTGCCCTGAGATATCTGCATCATGCTGGCATCGGGTTGGGTCTCCCCGGATTTGGTGGTATGCCACGAGTGGGGTCGGCCTGTCGGTTCACTGCGCCTGGGGAGACACAAGAGAGGGACCCCATCAACCTCAGCAGCATGCTCTGCTGAGTCTCCTCACCAGTGTGATTTGTGGGTTTAGAAGCAGAGACTATTGTTTCCTCAGAGAGACAAAAGCAACCAAGTAAATTCTGGAAGGAAAATTTGACTGTTTGCTATTCTCTGCTTACTAATTTTTAAATTTTACTTCTGACTTTGACATAAGTTCAGACTGATATCAAAATGTTGCAAAATTAACAAAGATTTTCCATGTAATATTCACATACACGCTAACATTTCATACCCGGATAGTCTAAAACACATGGAATTGCCTTGTCTTCCTTGGCCTCTATTTATTTACATGTAAAACCTGCACCACTGAGGCCAGCAGGTGGCATGGCAGTTAAGGCACTAGACCTCCATATGGCCAACCTCAGTTTGAGTCCCAGACTAGGCAGCTTTCTTTCTCACTTTCCCTCTGTCTCTTTGGTGAGTACATGTGCCCTATAGCGAGCGAATTTAAAAATAATAATAATGACAAACAAAATGAAATCATTATTTAAAAAATAATCTGAGGACCGGCAGATGGTGTCATGGTTATGTCACCGAACTCCCACGTAGTCAACCACGGTTTGAGTCTTGGACCCGGCAACTTAAAACTCATGCAGGGCACATGTGTGTGCATGCCCAAAATTACAAGAGGAGAAGGGACTGCAATATGACCATCCCCCGGGAGGTAATTTCTTGCTTTCTGTCTTTCTGTATCTGTCTCAATAGGGCACATGTAAAACTCTCTCTCAAAACGAAAAAAAAAAACAAAACTGGACCACCAATTCCTTCCTACTTCCCCCGGACTTCGTGTGGGTAGATGATAAAAACCCTTTTGAGGGGGATCAACAGATGGCATAGCTGTTATGTCACTGGACTCCCACATGGCCAACTGTGGCTCGATTCTCAGAGCCAGTGGCTTGAGAATCACAGCTCAGGTGTGTGCATGTGTGCCCAGGATCCTGGGAGGAGAATGGAGAAGGGACTGAGGCGTGGCCGTCCCCATTTGGGGGGGGGGGTGATTTCTCATTTTCCTGCTAACTGTCTCTGTCTCTCTCTCTCTCTCTAGTGAGTGCGTGTGTCTTAAGGCAAAACTCTCTCTCTCTCAAATAAAAAGTTTCTTTAGAGCCGGCAGGTAGCGTGGTGGTTAGGGACAGTGGACCCACATGGCGGACTGCGGTTAAAGTCCCAGACCTGGCAGCTTGCTTTCTCACTTTCTCTCTCTTTTTCTCTCACTCTTGCCCTCGCTGGTCAAATTAAAAAATAATAGTAAAAATAAATACATAAAGTTAAATAAAGTAATTCTTAAAAAAAAAAAAAAAAGCTGAGGATTTTCAAGTCCTGGGTTACATATCCTGTTGCTGAATAAATGAGACTACTATTTTAATTTTGTGAGGTCTGCACTAAACATTCACAGTTACCACAGTGTTCACCCTGCTCTAAGCAGTCTAGAGAACAAAATTCTCCCGGAAATAGTTTCTCATCATACAAGCCAGTGACTTCAACTTTGAAACATCCTGCCCTTAGAACACAGTTGACAAAGCCTCAGGGAACCCGTGGGTGGTGTCCTGAAGATGGCAATACTGAAGAGAATCTGGTGAGCATCACGCTACTGTAGAAGGTCAGTCAGGAGACAGAGGATGTACTTTATTTTTGGCAAAAGAATGAGGTGACGTAGTAGGCATTTCATGCTGCACATTCTTTAACTGTAAGACTGCAGGGAGATCTGCCTGCAGTCGGCAAACGCTTTCATGGGGGCCCAGCCCTGGAGCCTGCTGATTAAAGGAACCAAATCCCACATGGCCAGCCAAGGTTTGAATTCCAGCCTTGGTGATTTAAAAATATGCCAGGCACATGTGCTCACACCCCAAATTCCAACAGGAAGCAGAAATGGAGGACAAGGGATGGCTGCATGGCCGTGCCCCATAAGGAATGCTTTCTCCCCCTCCTTGCAGTCTCTCTCTGGCAAGCACACATGCTCTCTGGCAATTAAAAAAGAAACACTTGTACGGAATCCACTTCGGTATGGTAAAAATAATACTTATAAGTTATGCTAACATGTACTTGGTTGACCTTGTGACTGACTCATGGATCCCCTTTCTGAAAGAAAAAAAAAAATTAACTTTTGTAATATAAATGAAAACTCATTCCCTTGAAGTTACTAATGAAATGTCACTGGTTAAGCAGACCAGGATGACACTAGGCCAGGTGTCAGGAGACTTGTGTTATTGCCCTGACTTCTCACTTTGTCATTAACTTGCTATATCTAGGTAACTTCCTCTCGCTAAGCCTTTGCTCATTAAAAAGTGAGGAGATTGGGGCCGGCAGATGGTGCAGTGATTACGTCGCTGTACTCCCATGTAGCCAACTGTGGTTTGAGTCCTGGACCTAGTGGTTTGAGAGTCATGCTGGGCATGTGAGTGTGAGTGCCCAAGTTCCTAGGAAGAGAATGGAGAAGGGATTAGGACGTGGCCATCTGCCCTTGGGGGGATGACTTCTCAATTCTCCTCTCACTTTGCCTATCTCTCTCTTTCTAGCAAGTGTATGTGCCCTCAGGCAAAAACCTCTAAAAATGAAGAGATTAATCACAGAGGCTATGAATTGTTTTAATCTGAAGTAACTATTTTTGAGAGGGTTTTTTTAAATGTATTTTGTTTTGAGAATTTTGTTTGTTTGTTACAGGGCGTGTGTACTCACCAGAAAGACAAAGAGAGACAAATAGACAGAAAGCGAGAAATCGCCCCCCAGGGGGGATGGCCATGCCACAATCCCTTCTCCTCCATTCTCCTCACAGGATCTTGGGCATGCACACACATACACCCAGTGTGAGTTTAAGCCATTGGGTCCGGGACTCGAACCGTGGTCGACTACATGGGAGTCTAGCGACATAGCCATCATGCTGACTGCTGGTCCTGAGAGAGTTTTGCTGTAAGGTGTGTGTGCTTACCAGGGAGACAGAGAGAGGGAAAGCAAAAAATCACCCCCAGGGAAGATGGCCATGCTGCAGTCCCTTCTCTTCTCGAGATTTTGGGCATGCACGTACGTGGCATGAGTTTTAAGTTGCCAGGTCTGGGACTCAAACCACAGTCAACTACATGGGAGTCCAGTGACACAACCTTTATGCCATCTGCTGATCCCAATCTGAAGTGACTTTTAAAATATATGAGAGAGACACTGAAGGGCTTCCTAAAACAGATGGTGATTTTAAACAATACATGTATTTCAGTTCCCTGAAGAGAGATGACGGTCTTATGTGAAGCAACAGAAACAGGTTCACGAGACTCTTCACTGTCACTATAAATATCTATTGAAGGAGCTTATAGTCAGGTGGACTAATGCCTGGGTGCTAGATAGGCCAGGAAAAGCAGGAAAAACTTAGCTCTCTCTCTTGAGATTGAAAGAAACTGGAATGCGGCTCAAGGTATCGGCTCTGGGGAGAGACAAACCCAGGTTCAAACCCAGTTTTTAAACCAGATACCATCGGTTTTTTAGCTTTTGGATTTTAGATAAGCTTTTGAACCGCCATGAGTTTCCTCATTGGTAAAAGGTAGATCCTGTAACAGAAGCCATGCACAGGGTTTTTGTGAGATTAAAAATGAGATAACATACCTGGCACCTAGTAAGAGCTCAATAAATGGTAAGTATTATCATCGCCAGCCACTCATTATTACTGAGTTGATAAAGGGTAGAGAGGATACGAGATATGCCTATCAGAGATATCTATAAGGAAGGGTGGAATAGAGGAGAAAGGAACAGGCAGGAACTACTGGTAGTGATGAGTCACCTAGCTCGGAACACCCCAGTGAAGTACTAGGCGGTCATTACGGCAGGGGACCGCCTGGATCTACTGTGGTCAGAGCAAACGGGGCCTGGCCATGGTGGTAGGACAGGGAGCTACCGAGGCACGGGCTGTGAAACCATGGGGGTAAATGCAGGCCAAATTTTCAATCAGACATTATAGAATAACTAGAGGAAATAGTAGCACAGCTTTGGGCTTGGGCTATAGAGAGGAAATAGAATGCAAAATCAAGAGATCAACAGCGGAAGCCAGAAAGTTTATTATAACGTGTTTGCTCTCGGCTCTCGCTCCCCATGCTTCTCTGTTCATATCAAGCCCCATATACACAGTAAATCTTTAGTTCAGCCTCACCACAAAGTTGACTTGACTCTTTTTACAGAGAAGGCAATCAGGGAGTCTGAGGGGTCATGGCTGGGGTCTTCGCAGTTTAGCATTCTTACAGCTAATCCCCCAGACCTTAGACATCAAGCTCCCCAGAAATTAGGTTGTTACCTCTTCAACCAGCCCCTTGAAGCTAGGTTACTTCCTTTGAACCTCAGATCCTCCCTGGCTTAGACCCTGATCTATCACCCACCTCCATCCAGTGAGCACAAATCCTTCCTAAGCCCCTCAGCAGGGGACCCAAATCCCAAGGTGGGGAAGTCTGGGAGTCAAAGTTTAAGCCCAGTTACGTATGATTTCAGGTACTCTATAAAATGTTACTGGTCAGTTATTAACCAGTGACTGGTTATAATTAGCAAAAGCCCAGTCCTTGTTGAAAAGATAAAGTGTCTTTGCATGCGGCACCTGGAGGCATTTCATATGCATATTATTTTAGACTCAAATGGACCCAAAATGCATAAGGAGAATGAACAACCTCATTCTCCTACCCCATGTCCTGGGGCTGCTTAGCAAGGGAGGTGGCAGAAGCGCCCTTGGGAGTAGGGTGTCAGCCAGGGATTGGCCCTGAGAAGCCAACAGACTCCAGTGAAGACTGAGCTCCTCTCAGTGACACTGTAAGGCTGAGGATGGCTCTACAGTGTGTCATCACCGGATGGCATCTGTCCACGCCTGCCTGAAAGGATGTGCTGAAAACCTATTTCCTACCCAAGGGAAATAGGCTCCAATACATTCCACAAGCTCTACAGAAAGATCCCTCTTCCCCTCAAAGAGATGAGGTGTGAAATAACGTT